ACGGAAAACTGTCTTCGGACAAGCGCTGGCTCTATGGCTTGAAAAGCGGGATGAGCGCCGCCCCCTAAAGTTGGATACGGCTGGACTGAAAATGTCAATGGGAACCTTACCTTACTCATGTTGGTAAAGGACTAGAACTGTAATGCAATCTGTAACCTATATTTTTAAAAATATTTTTCTCCTAGTTTAGTGCTAAGCTGATATAGCACTAATTCAAATGCTTACCATCTCTTGTCAGTTCAGCGCTATTGCACTTGCTAGACATAAACAAGAAACAAATGAGAGATTGGAATGCCAGCAAAAGTGGTAGGTAAGAGGTTTGTGCTGTTTTTCTTATAGTATTAACTCCATCAATTACACAGCGTTAGCATTAAATGCAAATAGATCTGATCTTTTGGCATGAATATATAGTATATTTTATTCAGCAGGCAGGGCTTGTGTCGTCCCGTTCCCCCCCCCCCCCCCTCTTTGTGCTGTTTTTCTTTCAGTATTAACTCCATCAATTACACAGCGTGTGACACCTTCCCATGATAATTAAACATTTATGTGTGAACACTGCCAGTGATTTGAATGCCAGAGTCTGAGATATAAAAGTTTGCATCAATTTGGGATACTTATCATACCTATATGTGTTGACACCCTTATCCAGACTGCTTGTGTGATCACTTGGATTGGTACTTTGAAGCACTTGCTGGGTATGTTCAGATGATATAATTGATGATGTACAAAGCAGAGCATGCTGTGGAAGTGCCTGTCTTCTACTAAATAAATAAATAAATAAAATGGCATTCCCTAGTCACACTGGCCACATGACAACGGAAAACTGTCTTCGGACAAGCGCTGGCTCTATGGCTTGAAAAGAGGGGTGTGAGGCGACCCCCAAAGTTGGATATGGGCTGGACTGAAAATGTCAATGGGAACCTTACCTTACTCATGTTGGTAAAGGACTAGAACTGTAATGCAATCTGTAACCTATATTTTTAAAAATATTTTTCTCCTAGTTTAGTGCTAAGCTGATATAGCACTAATTCAAATGCTTACCATCTCTTGTCAGTTCAGCGCTATTGCACTTGCTAGACATAAACAAGAAACAAATGAGAGATTGGAATGCCAGCAAAAGTGGTAGGTAAGAGGATGGTGATCATGGCAGAGAAAAGAGAAGAGGAAGAGGGGGGGGGGTTGTGATGTGTGGCAACTTCCCATGATAATTAAACATTTATGTGTGAACACTGCCAGTGATTTGAATGCCAGAGTCTGAGATATAAAAGTTTGCATCAATTTGGGATACTTATCATACCTATATGTGTTGACACCCTTATCCAGACTTTTTCTTAATATTTTCCTGCTTTTTTTTTCCTTTGATGCCAGTTCTAGGTACTGTATATGCTTTTCTCTCTTTCTTTCTTAAGTTAAAGCCTACAGTTAAAGCACTGCATACCTTCTAAATTCATTCCTGTCTCCAACTTGCATTAGTGCCACAATGGTGTTTGTAACAGATGTGCCAATATTAGCTCCCATTATGATTGGAATCCCATGCTGAACAGTCAGTACTGCAAAATAAAAAAAGCAACAGAGGGTAAAAAAATTAAAAGGATAGGAAGTCTTGGCACTTAGCATAGAATTAGCAATTTAGTATCCCCTGTCATGTCCCCTGGAATCTGGATTGTAGATATATTCTTCAGGAAAAGAAAGTGGTACATGTTTTTTTAAATGTTAAAATGGCACAGCTGTTTGTTCTCCTCCCCATAGACTTTTATTGATGGGGTGCAGATGCAGTTTTCAGGATGAAGTAACTGTGCAACCTTGGCTCTTGCCACATCATTGTTCCTAGAAATGCATTCCTACTCAAGGTTTCAAAGTCCAAATGTTAAAGAATTGTATAGAAGGGCAAAAGTCCACTAGAAGTGCCTCTTCATGTCACTGCAATAATGTAGGCTCACCAGGCAGAATTTCCCTTTGTAAGCTAATTCTGACATAGCACAAAAGAGATGTTTTAATATCCCTTCTTCTCTCTCTCTCTCTCCTTCTCTCTGTCTGTCTCTGTGCAAATTTCAAGATGACCCATATAATTCCAAAATTCCTAGCAGAGAGGACTTTTAGCTTACATGAAGAGGACACCATGCTGACTATGATGGATGAAGAGGTGCTAGAACTCTGCACCATGACAGTCACCAGAACGCCGATCACCAGACCTGCAACAGGATTTGATAATACAGAACCATCTTTGAATATGTCTCCTGCGGCTTTACCTAGGAAAAGTGAGATAGTTTTTATCAATAATATTGTTTACACGGTCAATAATCTAGCTATAAGAAAATCAGTTAATAATATTGCATTACAATTTGCATGTTCAAGTAACGAAATATAGGAAAGGGGTATGCAGATGAGAGCAACCTTGATTCTTGATTCATCAAGGAGGGAGAACAGTTTTTGTCTCCACCCAGTAGAGTTAAAAAGAACCCTTCTTATTGTACACTGTAGTCCTGTATAAATATATGGTTACAATTCATTTACCTGGGAGAAAACTAAAGGACTGCTGTTAGAGACAACATTAGAAAAAGGAGAAAGCCTAACTACTGGCTACTGATTTGTTTCCAGGTACAATTCAAAGTGCTGGTTTTAACCTATAAAGCCCTAAATGGCTTGGGTCCAAGCTAGACATGGGGATGAATTAAAAAAAAAAACTAATTGTGATACTTGTTTAATATTTGTCCATATTTGTCAATTCCCCAATGAATATGAAGGGACGAATATTTCTCCATTTTTATTCATCCCCCCATAGGAAGAGAGGAATGGCTAGCCTTCCCTCTCTGCCTATGACCTTCCCATTTTGCCTATGGGCCACTGAACAGCTGATCAGCAGGACCATAGACAGTCAGCAAGCTCCACAGCTGCCCACCCCCACAGTCTGCCACTGCCCCTTCCGTTCTCTACCTTAGCTGCTGCCATCCATCACTCCCAATGCTGCTGCCATCCACCGCCACCCGCAGCAGCAGCCTCCACCACCACAGCCTGCTGTAAGGGACTCTGGATGCCCTTTGCAAAGATGGTGGCTGCAGCTTCCCAGTGGACAACGGCAGTACAGACAGCAGACATGGATGGCCGTGCCCAAGGTAGGAAGGCAATAAGGGCAGTGGGAAGGGAGCAAGCTATGTTAGCGGGTGACTCAGCTTTCCCCCTTTCTTTTTAGACTTGGGCTGTTTAAAAAGCCCCAACAAACCTATTTGTGCTTCGTCAGTTCATGGGGAGGAAATTCGTGGTTCAGCAACTTTAACAGACAACGAACCAGGACAAACCACCATTTTGTGGTTCATCCCCATCTATAGTCCAAGCTATCTAAAGACTGCATATCCCACTATGAGCCAGCCCAGGCATTAAGATCATCAGGGGGGGCTTTCTATTGGTCCCACCACCGGGGGGACACAGGAGAGGACCTTCTCTATTGCTCTGTTCCAGACTCTGGAACTCCCTCCCACAGGAAGCTAGGCCGGCACCATTTTTTGTTGTCCTTCCTCAAGCAGGCAAAGACTTTTATCTTCAGGCAGGCTTTTCCTTAATGACTGTTGTCTGGCAGCGGTTTTTAAATGGATTATTGTGCTCTGTTGTTTTAAATGTATTTTAGTATTGAAAGGTGGTACAAAAATATTTTGAATAAATAAAATAATAAATAACTGTGAGTCCAGCACTAGGGAGTCAGCTATCACTACAAGTGATATAGCAAGAGATGCATGTTTCTGTTCTTACTCTTTTCTAGACATCTAAATTATGAGGAATGGGAGAATCCTTATAACCACCCCAATTTCCCTTTTACTTGATGAACTTTTGAAGTGCTTTCACAAGAATAACAAAAAAGGTCAATATCTTCAAAATAAGCATCATTTGTCAATGAACAGCTAGAAGCACACACAGTTCTTCTCAAGTTCACCATTTAAAAAAGAAATATGTAGGCTTACAATATATGTAACTTCTTCCCTATTATGCTACCTCCTGTGAATTTATAGTTATTTTATTTGTTTATTTAACTTATGACAACATAAGTTGTCATGTGCTTTTGTGTATGGTAGATTAGGGATGCAGTGCAGAAATCTCAGAGAATAGACAAACAAACATTGAGGATGAATAAAAACCTATCTGAAGGGAGGGGCAACCTATATGAGCTCTCAAATTCTTCTGTGGCTCAAGGAATACCATGAGGCAAATTATCCCCTTTCCCACTGTTCATATGTCATTGTTCCAAACACTGCTACATGCTAAAGTAAGGATTTAAGGCAGGCACAAAAAAACTCTGGTCATCTAAATGTTGCTCTACCTTCCATCCTTCTGAAGTCATTAAAATGAGTACACAGCTCGCCGGGGGGGGGGGGGTTATTTGCATAATTATGTTGTAAACCTCCCAGAGAGTGCTGTAGCACTGTGCAGTGGTATATAAGTTAAAACAATGAACAAATAAATAAAACTAACACAGATTTGTATTGTGGGCATGCCTCTAAAGCACTTTCACCCACGTTTTACTGGAAAGCCTTCAGCCAGTTCACTTCTTTCTGTATGATTCACCTCACAGGGCTATCGTGAAGACAAAATAGGGATTTTATACCCCTAAAGAACCTGGACATGAAACAAAGCCAACCATTTTACAGCTCTTCATGTCTTGTTAATGTTCTTTCATTAGCAAGTTAAAGAATATGGCCTACCTTGCTTATTGGAACAAAAAGTTAGGTTTCAAAAGTTTCCATGTGCTTTAATGAATAAGCAGTTATAATATTACCCATCAGCATACTCTCCTCCTGATTTTTTTTTTTTAAAGAAGACAAGTTGGCAGTTGAGAGCAGAGATGTAGCAGGGGAGGTGGGCAAGGTACGGAAACCTGGTACTGTTTCTTGCTAATCTTTAATGTCACTATCACTTTGGAATTTGGGGGGAAAAGAGAGCCTGTGCCAATAAAGGGGTTTTGGCATTCACGAGAGGCAAGGCTATCAACAGCTACTAGCTATGGTGACTGAGCATTATCTCTAGCTTCAAAAAAGACTTTTGTGTCCATGTCCCGCTTGTGGGCATCTGGCTGATCTCTGGAAACAGAACACAGGATCAGATACTGCTTTGTTTTTAGCCAGCAAGGTTCTTCCTATGTTTTCCTTAACATGTGATATTTAATTCTACAATTTTCTTTTTGCAGGATTAAACCAAGAGTCTGGATATATTACCTAAACGTGATATATTGAAAAAGTTGTCCTACCTCCCACTAACTGAAAGGCTGAGCTAAGCACATCCAAGGAGCAGACAAAAAGGTACAGCAATCCAAGTAAGAGAATAAACTTCCCAATGCCTTTTAACACACAGAGTATTTTGCCTTTTCCATCCAGTTCTGCAAAACAGAAAACAAGGTTTTATGTATAAGACGGCAGTGAACTTAAGGCCTGGTTTTCAAAAATGCATCAGTTTACAGCATATCCATGGAGCCATGACCAATGCTGGCAGTTCTATGAATCATAAACCAGAAGGAATGTCCTTATTATTAAAATTTAACTAGTGTATAACTAAAAGATTCTTACGAAGTGTTAAAAGGTTGATAATATTTTTAACCTTTTTCCATTCTCACACTGAGTAATGCATTGTGGCTAATGGAAATGCAGAATGAGAAAATGATCTTTTTTTTTCTTTCATCCATAGGTGTTACAGTCATCAGATTGGAAAGATAAGTGTGATTCCTTTTAACAAAATTATGTTAATAGAAATTCCATGTGCTTATGAGATATGGAAGATTAGTTAACTGCCAATGCATTTTTTTTCTTCAAAGGAAAAAATAATTCAGCAGAACAAAAAACGTGCATCACCTCTACCTGACATGGTTTACTTTAGTTTAAATGGTTACATGGGGTAATGGCTTAGACTGAAATACTGCTTTGGGAAGGAAGGGTGAACGTATGTTTTCTCCTCATTTCTACAAGCAAGTCATTCAGCTACAAAAGTAGATTAAAGCCAAATAACACTTTCTGTGACTTAGAAGCCTAAACTGAAGATCCAACTATATGGTCAAATACTGTGGGATTTGCTGCAGATGTGAAATCAATTAGTTTTTTTACTGATCACATGACACAATGTTCATTTTGAATCAGTCCAACCATTGTTTTGCTCCTAATAGAGGGTTTTTTTCTCTGCCATTGGGGGCTTAATCATGTGAGGAACAGACTGTTCACATGGAAAACAGTCCATTCAAAGAATTCTGACTCGAAAATCATTTTTTAAAACCAGAATGATTTGATGGACAGTTTCTCATATGATCATTTGTTTCTCTCTCCAAAAGAAGCCATTCTAAGCTTGAAAGAGAACAGAAAAATCTGTGATATGTTAGTAATAATAAATCTAAAAGTTCATCTACCTATGAGGAAGAAAACAGAGAAGAGGACGTTCTAGAAGTTGCCTAGCAGCATTTAAAAACCCTTCTGTAACATTTAAGCGAAAAAGAAGCTTCAGACATATCTAAAGGAAGCTCTCTATTTCCTAAGTCTAACATAGAACACATGACAGCCAGAATGCCATTGGGATTTTACATTGCTGCAAGCAAAATCATGTAAGTCATCTCAGATAACTGAAACTAAGTAAAAAGTTTCCAGTTGTGTGCCTGATCAGGTGACAGTCAATGATGAGGCACATGACCAACTCTATTTTAATAAGCTTCAGTTAGCATCTGCAACGTAAGCGATTCAACTTGCACCAGGACAAAATCTCAGTAGGATTCTAGCTGACAAATTTATTGGGCTATAACTGAATACTAGCTTTGTTGGTATTACACTGAGTTGCCATTTTGCTAACACTACCAGCAGTCCACTTTAAAATCAAAACAAACTAAATGAAAGATCATCACTAGTGGAAACAGAAAAACACAAATAATCAGAACAATTTTAGAAGACATTCCTTCTGGACTTCTGTGCCTGTTTCTCAACAAAGCTAACACACAAGAAGTACCAACTATACCAGGGGTGGGGAAAATGTGCCCCTCCAGATGTTGTTGGGCTGCAGTTTCCATCTCCTTAACCACCACAGCCAACAGTGACAGATAATAGGAGGTATAATCAGACTACCTCTGGAGGGCTATTCCTCAATCAGAATGAAGGTAGCAGAAGATAGAAAATTCTAAATAACATTCAGTTGGTTTCTTGACAACACATCCTCACCTGACCATTTTACTCCACTGTTCTGGAGCACTGGCATACTCCATGGATCATTTTCCTCATCCAGTTCAGTTGTCAAAGCAATGGTGGAGTATGCAGGTAAGAGATCCAGTTGATTCTTTAAGGAAATTACTTCACCTGATGCAACAAATAAGCAAGTTAATACAATTGTTTTTTCACCGATACTCAAGGATATAATTGGCAAGTTTCAAAAACTGTTTATGTTAGATATATAGGAGCAAGTATTTTAAATGCTTGTCCCTTTTTTTGTTTTTTACCTTTGGGATTTTTCACCTCATTTTCAGACATAATGTGGTTTTGTTTGGAGCACGGCCGCTCAATACACTTAGCACTGTTTGCGTCTTCTAGTTCAGGCCACGGAGCCATGTCCTGCAACAAGAGCAGAGGTGAGAAAGGGTAGGAGGAGAGACATCAAAGAAAAGCTAAAACAAAAACTTTCTAAGGTATTGCTAGGAATATTAGAAAAAAGGTTCATTATATAAAATTGGAGGAATAATTTATGTGTATTAGTTCTTAATGGATGAATGCCTTCTCCAAAAGAAACTACACTGGTGATTTATTAGCAAAATACCATGTCATTTTCAGAAGCATATTTTCTTTATAATGTTTTAACTTTAACACATCTCCAACCTGATGTGTGATTCAAAAGCTCACTTCATATATTATAGCCAGAATCATGTATAGTTTGCATGTCTTGCTGTATCTAACTGCTGCTAATTGATGTGGCAGCAGGGTGGAACTCAGCTATGTGCTGGCTCATGCACTCCGTTCTTCGACTGTGGTGTGCTCTGCACTTAGATGCAATTAAGCTGAGGCAAGTTACATAAACCTTACATGAACAACTTGAAACATTTTTGAGGCATATCAGTTCTGTGTTGATCAAGAGAGAGCATATAAAGGGAACAATGTAGATGCTGTTTACACTATATAGTATTGACCAGGGGGAACGTGCTGAACAGGGGCCAGCACAAGCTAGCTGATAAACATGGCAAGGACAGTGTTGTAACTGTGAGGGAAAGTTAATGTGTATTTTAGGACGATGGTCAGTTCACTGAGTATTATGCCTTTTGCTTAACACACAAAAAACACACGGAGATCTCAGAAAGTATATGTGAATTAGGCACTACAGTGGACAGCATAGCAAGAATGGACTTGCAGATGCTTTGAGAATCCTTTTAGCAGCAATTATATTCTTTTGCCATCCTATGCCCCAGCCATATTCCTCATCCCTTTCCTCACTTGTGAAACAATAATATGCAGGTAACCTTCTGAACACAAAAAAACACAATTGTTCTGACTTCACTTACATGCTACTGACACTGACAATTAATAGACAAATACATTACTTGGATTTGGTAACAGCATGATAAAAGCCACTGCTGGTCATATGGAAGTGTTTGACTCTGTGTTTATTTCTCTGAAACGCCACAAAAATGCAGTAAAAGTGAGGGGCATTGGCTACTACCTTTGGTTCCTATGTCCTCAGTTCCCAAACTCCTTATGTCCTTCCTTTCTGACTCTTTGACCATGTGACAATTTTTGCACAACTTCCTTTGGCCACTCCGCTTCTCCTATTTCAAAGAAACACTATGGAGTGTGTATAGAGGAGTGGGAGGAGGGGGACACAGACAGATTGGAAATACAAATGAGGCTCTGGCTGAAAAGAGGTTTACTCACAAACAAATGGCAACATCCACTAGAGATACATGTGAAGTATGTCATCTCAGCCCAAAGTACCTCAAATACCAGAATACCAAAAGACGGTGTGATAGAAAACAAAATGGTGAAACCCACACCAAAATAGTGTGCTTCAGGCTCCTTTCTTGTTTAAAGGTGCTGTGATGAACTACCTTTATGTTTGCCATGAGACATGAAAAAGAACAAGGTGTACATTCTGTGTTTTTGAAAACCAAAAAACCCTGGGATGCTTCACTGGACCAAAGTGTAGTAGCCTACCCTGCCTGCTTTTTCCACCAGTGACATTTTTGTTGTTGTTAAATTTCCCAAGGTTTTTATTCATCTTGAAGATTTGTGATCTGCATGTGTAATACAAGAAGGTATATAAACTAATCCCTTGTGTGGGACTACAAAGCATTGTTTGTACTTTGCCATTCATGATAACCTAATGAAAGAAAGAACTGTGCTTGGAGTAAGTACAGTAAAGCAATCTGACTTAGAAAATTCAAAATTACAGGGGAATGAACAGAGTAAAATGGAACTATTAGAAAGAGCAATTTCTTTCAAACATAACTACTTATTAACTCAGCAAGTAGTTAAACTTTCATATGTCTCAAACAAGGAAGAAATAAGGAATTAAAGTAGGACAAATCTTTTATGTATTCATGAAGGCTTTCACGGCCGGGATCTAATGGTCGTTGTGGGTTTTTCGGGCTCTTTGGCCGTGTTCTGAAGGTTGTTCTTCCTAACATTTCACCAGTCTCTGTGGCCGGCATCTTCAGAGGGCAGGAGTAGTACTTTTATGCTTCAAAAATTTAGATGAAATTGTATTTTAGTTTTATTATAGTATTATCATGATATAGAAACATACAGTACATATCACCTCTCTCCCTCTCTATAAAGGTGTGTGTGTATATATACACTGGTGTCTGCAGGCAAAAATTAGAAGGACCAAGGGGTAATAAAATGAACTATAATCCAACTGGGGAAAAAGCAGAGTGGATTTAGGAATCTGCTGATTTGAATGGAGGCTTACATCTGATTTTAGTTGGGATCATATGCCATTTGAAGGGGCAGGATCTGGAACGAATGGATACAGATGGCATCAGTTCCTAAGAGTGCTTTTGACTACCTTAGATAGGTTTTACAACTGCAGCCATTTCTAGAGAAAGCTGACCTAGGTACAATGAAACCTGCTTTGGCTATGTTTTAATGTTTGTTATGCAGCACTGTCTTTGAACATTGCTCAGAAGCTAGTACGGAACTCAGCCAGTGGAATGCTTACTGGATCTAATTGCGCAAACCATATTACACCAAATGGTCAAAAAACTATTAGTTACACATGTAAATATAATTTTGGCACTGAATTGCTACAATACAAGACGTCAATGTAGATATTACCTGTTGCACACTTAGTTATGTGATGTGCCGCACAACAAGTAATGTGACACAGGCATTTCCCCTCCAAATGTTATGCCATTTGTGTTACATTAGCATAAAACGATAATAGGACTTCAGCCATTAGGTATTAGTTACATGCACTGTCTATTCAATTCTAGGCTCAATGCAAGATGCTGGCTTTGAACTTTCAAACCTTAAACAGTTTGGGACCACATTATCTGAAGGACCACCAACACCTGACCTCTACGAGCCTGCCCAGATGTTACAGGCAACACAGAATGCTCCTCTAGAAGGCACAGAGCTGTTTTAGTAGTGAATGACCTTTGGATCTTGGTCCTCAGGAAGATAAATATGACCTCAATATTTTCATTCCAATCTGCATTTGGTGTTGGTAGGAATATTTATCTCTCTGGGGAGCAAGATATATACAGGATGAGGGTGGCTTTTATTTTTTATTTTTGGAAATTTTATTTTTGTATGTTTAATCTCTCTGCAAGCCAGTCTGTGAAGCCAGGCAGCAATGAAAGTCAAATTTAAAATATTGTGCATATAAATAAATATAAAACCAGTCTCCAAGGTTCTGTCACGCACTAGCATGATTAAGGAAAAAGGAGCCATGCTTCAACCACAGAACCAGTTCTGCTTCATAACATTTCAGAACCCAGCCTCATGCTTCCTTTAGAGGTGATGCAAGACATTTTAATAACATGCTAATGTTTCCCACCCATTATTAGACAATGGAAGGGCTGAACCTGTATATCCACACCCTACCTTAATTTATGATTCATTTTTACGCATGAGAGGGCCGTTGCTCTTGCAGAGCAACATGCATGCTTAAGTAACCTCCATCCTAGAGACAGTGCATATTATTCTGGCCTGAGTTAATCTTCACTGGTTACTCGTTCTTTTTTTCTTTATTTTTCTTTTTTGGACTCAGTTCAGGGTGCTCGCTCTTATAATTAAATCTTAATGTCTTCATACATAGGCATTAAATGTGGCTCAGCAGCAGAGGTCCCTATCTGACTGAGGAAAACCATAATCCCTGGTCCAAGCAGGGGAGGAATCTAACCCTGCCTCCATCTTAGACCATAGCTCTCATCCTTGCTGAAGTACATAAGATCAATTTGAGGAACTAGATCTTTTCAGTCACACTGCCAACCAGCATGCAGAATGTCCTCAGAGAACTACACCTGTCCCCATTATTAATTTTGTTTCACCATCTAGTCAAGGTGTGGTGTTCTAACAAAGCTTGGGGAAGAGCTATCTTTTTCTGTTCCTTTTCTTTTCCTCTTCAGCTTTGGGCAGATTTCTGACTACTTACTTCTGGTCTAGTGGTGCTGATGTCATTATGCTGAGGTGGGGGCATACTGCTTTCTAGGTGATGGTTATAGACAGCTTTATTGCTGTTTTTAACATGGACATTATTGATACTTTCATTATTTTTATTTTGGTTTTATCACATTTTGGTTATTTTATTGTTAGTCACCTATACTGTATTTTTTGTTTTTATCCTGAAAAGGAAATATAGAACAAATATGCTGCATCCATAAGCAATGTGACCTTCCACACCATGTGGTTTACACTACATGACAGATGCAAAAAGCAAATTCCATGCAGACGGTCAGATCAGGTTTGCTTTTCAACTTACAGAGACATTATTTATCATTATTACTTGTCTAGAATCACCATTTTGAATTGCTTTTTACCAAAAAAATATACACAAATAAAAATAAGTCTGTGTCCGAATAAGGTTCCATTACAAAGTTCTATCTGCAGTTATTGAGCTATCTACATTTTAAAGGATATTTAAATATTTTAATCATTTCTTACATTTCTTCTACCTGTAAATTGACTGCAAAACCTCCATTTGATTAAAGGTACATACAGTTTAAAAACAGCATCTATTACAGTGGTGCCCCGCTCGATGATGATAATCCGTTCCAAGAAAATTGCTGTTAAGCGAAATCATTGTCAAACAAAAAAAAACCCACCCCACTGGAATGCATTGGAAACCGGTTAATGCGTTCCAATGGGGAAATACCTCATCGTCCAGCAAAGATCGCCCATAGAGAACCGCCAATCAGCTGTTTAAAATCGCTGTCTTCCGAAGCTTCTGTCCGGAAAACAGCCATTTTGCGAAGGGAGGGAAGCCATTTTGCGGAGCCGGAAAAAACATCATTTTGTGAACAAAAGGTTCGTGAAGCAGGCACCTAATAGACATAACGCAAAATGAGCCTCGTGGCGCAGTGGTTAAAACGCTGTACTGCAGCTAAAACTGTGCTTACGACCTGGGGTTCAAATCCCAGGTAGCCGGCTCAAGGTTGACTCAGCCTTCCATCCTTCCGAGGTCGGTAAAATGAGTACCCAG